TTTCCCCTTTCAGTTCATAATTACTCCTGAAATTCGTGATGGATGCTACACCTAGGAAGCGTGCAACTATTGTAGCCCTTAGAAAACATACTGATTTGAGTATCAGACAGATCGCCGAAAATTCGAGTCTAGCAAAGTCAACTGTTGGTCGTATTCTGAAGTGAGCTGATGACACTGGGGATTATGGAATGCTATATCGAAGATTAGATTTAGATTTTACCACCGAAGTGGCTAGTTTATTGTGCACCCCATATCCATCCTGTGGACGGTAGCGCAAGAGTATATGGATACACAAAAGGCCTAGGAACTAGGTCCCAAAGGGTTAACAGGAATACATATGGATTTACATCTTTGGAGGAAAACGTAAGACATCTCACTATAACAAGGTTATCGTAAAAAATAGTGTGAATACCAAGAAAACCAGAAAGATTTGGCTTCAGCTGACGTAAATGTTGATTCTTCAACTGTTCGACGAAGGTTCCTTGAAGTTGGCAGAACTGCCAGAAAGCCGATAAAGAAACAATTATTGACTGCTGCTATGAAGAAAAATGGCTGAGGTGGGCAATCGATCATTAGGGATGGACGACAGATGAATGGATACTAATCAGTGGTAGTGAGACGGAACAAAGACGAACGTCTTCGGAATGGACACATTCAACAAGCGCCAAATTACCCACCTAAGATGTTTTGGGGTAGTTTCACTGCTAAAGCCCCTAGATGGCTTGTTATTGCTGCGGGAACGATGAACCGTGACAAATACAAGGCAATTCTGGCAAATCATTTACTTCCCATTGTGGATAGAGACTTTCCTGATGAAGAAAGCATTTTCCAACATTATCTTGCTCCACGGCACACTTCCAGAGAAATGCTAAAATTCGTCGAAGCTAAGTGGAGTCAGAGTGCACATGCTGTGGATTCCATCTCACATTGGTCTTCAGATGCATGATAGAACTGATAAATTGGTTAAGCTGTATGCTTTCAAAGAGGGGGTAGATTACAATCTTGGATTGTCAGTTAGCAGTTTGAGAACAATAATACGAAAAGAACTTCAAATGAACTTTATTGACTTAAGACTTAGGGAGATTGACACAAGTCAGTCCATCTATCATCATTCCATCATGCAGGAGGAGCCACATGTCTATGGTGCATCCAACAAGATAAGCAGACTCTTGGATGTCACTACCGCCCGGCTCCGGCTGGGTTACAAGTATCTTTGGCAGGTTAAATCACCACCACCAGATGTAGACCAAACGAAATGTAAACTTTGCCAGATGGACTATTGTCACACCTTGCGTCATTATGTACTGGAGTGTGATCAAATTAATGAATTTAGAAACAACTCACTCAGAAATGTTCAAGAAATGGCAAAGTATTTTATCCACAGTGGTATATTACAGACCATTCTGGAGAAATACCCTGACTTTGCTAGCTGTAAATAAAGCATTACCATGTGTGTGTGTGTGTGTGTGTGTGTGTGTGTGTGTGTGTGTGTGTGCGTGTGTGTGTGTGTGTGTGTGTGTGTGTGTGTGTGTGTGTGTGTGTGTGTGTGTGTGGGTGAGCCGTGAGCTTTATCATACCTCTGCTTAAAGCTATGTATGGATCCTGCCTCCACTACATCACTTCCCAAACTATTCCACTTACTGACTACTCTGTGGCTGAAGAAATACTTCCTAACATCCCTGTGATTCATCTGTGTCTTCAGCTTCCAACTGTGTCCCCTTGTTACTGTGTCCAATCTCTGGAACATCCTGTCTTTGTCCACCTTGTCAATTCCTCTCAGTATTTTGTATGTCGTTATCATGCCCCCCCTACTCTCCTGTCCTCCATTGTCGTCAGGTTGTTTTCCCCTTACCTTCCTCGTAGGACATACCTTTAGCTTGGGATAGTTTGTTGCAAAACCTTTGCACTTTCTCTGTTTCTTTACGTGCTTGGCTAGGTGTGGGTTCCAAACTGGTGCCGCATACTCCAATATGGGCCTAACGTACAACGGTGTACAGGGTCCTGAATGATTCCTTATTAAGATGTCGGAATGCTGTTCTGAGGTTTGCTAGGCGCCATATGCTGCAGCTGTTATTTGGTTGATGTGCACTTCAGGAGGATG